TCAGCGTCCTGTTGCATCATCCTGTAAAATAACTGACAATCATATTTAGAATAACGTTACTACAATGTTCCTATATTGTATCTTATAGATTTCTTTGCACAGCTGCTGTTATTTCAGAGAGCTTCTGGAGAGCTGAAAATAAACCAGCTGAAATAGTTGCAAGGTCACCGGAGCTTATTCCATTGAAATCTGTTTTTTTGCTTTGCCACACAAATATTGATGAGCTGATAGAAGAAGAATGCCTTTCCTTACTCATAATTTATGTGCTCCTGGCTCATTTGGATGATACAGATTGAATTCCCTCCCATTTAGAGGATGAAATCATCTTTTTCTTCCTTTTTTCCAAGACGCTCTCGGTTTCCTGTCGCGGAAAATAGACGCAGTGACGTCATCGTGCTTTATTATCTCGGGTTTGACAGACAGAGGCCTCCCTCCCTCCCTCCCTCCTGTCCACTGACCTTCCTGGTAGAGATCTTAATTGAAACCAGAGGAAGTTAAAGAGTGCAGGAGGAGGAAGAGGAAGAGGAAAAGGATGAAGAGGGTTTCTGATAACAGTGACTGTCAAGCTTTTAAAGACGTCTGCTCATTTTTAACACCTCCATGTGTCTAATTCAGGACAGATTTCAAAGGGAGTTCGGCTGTATGTGCTCTTCTGTTCACTCAAGGTCTGTCCAGGTGTGCTGTTTGCTCAGCGAGGTACATCTGACCTGGTGCCAGCAGGTAGAGGCTGTCGGAGGGTTTCTTTGTCTTCTGACTGTCTGCGTTTAGTCCTATTTAATGTCTTTATGGAGACAAAACGTTAACAATGATCCATATTAGCAGTTTGAATCCAACTAAAAGCTCCCTGCACCAAACTCCCTTTAAGAAATATCACATTTTAACAATTCCTAACGTGTTCGTAACAACACGTAACTCTAGAAACACGAGCTAAAGGCCGTCATATGTCCACAGTCTGACTGTAATACAGGATCAATATCATCCCATAAAGATACAGTGTATACTGATCAATATCATCCATAAAGATACAGTGTATTCTGATCAATACAACCCATAACCTAACCCTTTGTTCTCATTGGGAGGAGACCGTGGTAAAGAGAGGCGGGCCGAAGATTTCTCTCTATAATAAGTAATAATAATAAGAGCTGGTTTGTGGATTAGAAACACGCCCATTGAACACCGACTCATAACGCTGTTGATTCACTGTTTGTTTTGTGTGTGTGGCGTTATTTGATGAGTTTTTTTCTGCCGTTACCAAAGTAATTACACAGCTGGCTGCTTCCTGTCTGGTGCTGGAGAGAGACTGCTCTCATTGGCTGTAGCTCGTTGCATTGATTCCCTTTACATGACCAGATAGTTAACCTGCTGGATGTTTTTGGGGCATCTGCGAGGCATTGGTGTCGTTGAAACCGTGGTTAAAATGTGTTAAAAACATCTGAAGCTGTTTTTACCTGTCTCTTTCAGGTGACCCCCTTTGTTCAGTGCATGTCAGTGACAGTTTCTGTCTTCTCCTTGGTCCTGATTGCTCTGGAGCGCCACCAGCTGATCCTCCATCCCACCGGCTGGTCCCCCGCGGCGGGCCACTCCTACCTGGCTGTAGGGCTTACATGGCTGGTTGCTTGCTTCATCTCTCTGCCCTTCCTCTCCTTCAACATCCTCACTAATGACCCCTTTCAGAACATCAGCCTGCCCGCCAACCCTTTCAGGTGAGCTTCTCTTTAGAGGTCGCTGTTGAGCCATTTTGCCACAGACCTATACAATACATAAATATTCGCCTATTGAAATGTTTTGCAGCCTCCAAAAATGTGACTCATCAGGGAATAGAATAATAACACGTTCAGTTTCAATATGCTCCTAATAACAACATCCCTGCACAGCAACAACTGCATCACTGCTTGGAGAAATGCATTATGGGTGTGTGGATATGTATGTGGTTTCTTTTGATACGAACACTAGAGAGTCATTTCCATAGAAAGAAAAACACACAAGCAGCCGCGTGCATGGTAATTACATGTTTAGTGTATTATTTGAAGCTTAATCCCTCTGGTGCTTCTGAGCTCTCGGCTGAGGAACAATGAATTCACTGTTTACTCTCTGTCACTCCTCCATGTTTTACAATATTCAATGATCATAGATGTGTCACTGCAGCTGATTGGAAATGTTTGCTGCTGACGTGTGAATGTGTGCCGAACACTACAGCCCTTAAATCGGACTTCAAGTTGTTGGAAGAAACTGACTGAAGATGTGAGAAGCACCGTAAGGTCTACAGAGGAACTGTGCTGTAGAAATAAACTCTCCTTCATCAGTCTCAAGAATACAGAACATTTGTAGCTTTGTCTCTCTGTGATGGCCTTTTGTCACTCAGACTTTTTCATTATGTAGGTTAAGTGTTCCTAACTGCTTCATTTCATTCATTACAAGGCCATAATTTTTTGCTTTTGAAGCGTTAAATAATGACTAACGTGAGTGTGAAGGACACTAGCACTGCTTCTCACACTGAAACCACGAGGGTTGAAACCTTTGTGAATCATTTCTCTATTCAAAACACTGGTGGACTGAGGCTGTTTGAGGGGCGAAGAGAGTAACACCAGTGCCAAGAAAGTTGTAATGCATCGATGGTGAAACAGTGTTTTCTCCACTGGAAAGGCACCTTATCATGATTTATCTACCATAGGGGCATCCGAGAGGGCACACCTAATAAAATTAAATGGAGATTTTACTGTATGTTGTACTGTGGATGGTTGTATATGTGACAATAAACTTGATTTGACTTAAACCAATACAATACTTGCTAGTGGAACATTAGGGTTTCATCTGTCCTGAATAAATGGTGCGGAGATACCTCTCCTTTGTAACATACTGTATCTGTGTATCTGTCCTGTTCAAGGGACCATTTGATCTGTATGGAGCTGTGGCCGTCAGATAAGCATCGTCTTGCCTACACAACCTCGCTGCTGCTCTTCCAGTACTGCCTGCCACTCCTACTGGTGCTCCTCTGCTACCTCAGGATCTTCCTACGCCTGAGACGACGCAGGTACTTTTCTTTTCATAAAAGTTCCCTCGTATCTAGCTTTTGCCATCCAGTGTACCACAGCTTGTTTGTGAAGGCACTATTTATATATTAGTGCATTCTGCCTTAGGTTTGGTGTGATATTTCACAGTGAATTGTCTGACAATAGGCGTCATGCTGTGTTGTGCAGGGACATGCTGGAGCGCAGCAGGAGGACTCGGGGAGCCCAGAGGATTAACGTTATGCTGTTAGCCATTGTTGTAGCCTTCGCTCTGTGCTGGCTGCCGCTGAATGTCTTCAACACACTGTTCGACTGGCACCACCAGGCCCTGCCCGACTGCCAGCACGACGCCATCTTCTCCGCCTGCCACCTAACGGCGATGGCCTCCACCTGCATTAACCCCGTGGTGTACGGCTTCCTCAACAGCAACTTCCAGAGGGAGCTAAAGTTGACGCTGCAGCGCTGCCAGTGCGGTAACCGGGCGGCGGAGAGCTACGAGAGCTTCCCTCTCTCCACGGTGGGCAGCGAGGGCATGACAAAAGCCACCTCCCTCAACAGGATGGGATCCGTGTGCGTTCCCTCGCCCCGACCTGAGATCAGCTCAGCAATACCAGCGAAAACAATACCAGCTAACACCTAATCATGAGCACTACCAAACTGTTGGCTGGCAAATGGCAGCTGGAGCAGTGTGTAACAGACAGATCACAAACAGCTGTCTGAGACTTCTGAGCAAGTCTGCTTCAACTGTACTTCACTTCCATGACTCACCTGCTGGAGTGAGACGCCGTGTTTCACTCAGCTGACTGTTCAGGGTCAGGACAGGATGAGGGAGGAGGTCCGGACGCTGTAGCATCACATCTGGAAGTAAAATGGGCTCTGTTGAGGGACACGTAGAGAAAGCAGAAGAGCTTGTAAAACCCCATTCCCCAACTTCCAGAGTCACTGTTGCTATGGCTGTCGACCTTTGTATTTTACAAATGACGGCAGATTTACAGAAATTCTTAGTAATTTTTGAAACAATAGATCCATGATTTCAGACATTACTACAGAAAAGCAGCTTCTTATTTTTAGCCGGCAGCCATCGATTTTGATAAAAACTGTGTTGATAAAGTATTATACAGAAAAGAATAGTGTTATTATTAATCAGCTTCTAACAGCTTAAAGCTCTGATATAATATGGCCTGGCTCTGACACGGTGGATGTCTGCAACCGAACTTAATGTAGTTAGGTCATTCTTGTTTTGCTTTGCCTTGGAGATAATCAGGTTACTATGGCGAATAGTTATCTAGTTAACCGACATGCTAACGTTTGCAGCTTACATTAAAGCAGATAAACACACTGTTTAATTCATTCCTTACATTTTTGCTTGTGTAATTTTGGTTTTTGGAAAAACATAAACAGTCCAAACTCTTCAGACACAGAGCCGTATACAAACCGGTTGCAGTTTGGGGATGAAATGAAGCGAGAGGTCAACTGTGAGCAGCAACTGACAACAACAACATGTAAAATGTAGAAGGAGTGAGACGACAATGAACTCTAACATTATCATAAGGAATGAACTTATGAACCTGAATGTTGTCAACAGTTGGCTGACATAAGTGTGTTTTCTATGTAACTTTGCAAAGTGTAAATGATACATCATTATGATAGTGAACACTGTTGATAAGCATGCCTTAGTGAGCATTTTAAAAGTGTGGTGGAGATTATCAGTGCTTGACTTAGATACAGTGGAAGTAAATGAGGCTGCTTAACATTAGTGTATTATATAACTCATTTACTTTGAAGGTTTTCATTACACTGAACAAGTGATGGGCTTGCTATAATAAGCATTTAGAAACTTGAATGGATTTTCACAGGTTATAAATAGAATAAAGTCTTTGAGAGATGTAGTTGTTATCGATGCCAATCAGCCTTACTTTTTTCTGAATGAGATGAAACTTTGTAGGAATGTTCTAAATACTGAGGACTCAGCGCGTTTTGTAGCAGTTATCAGACCGAACACGACGCTATGAATTTAAAAGTCACAGACGACACCCACCAAGAGTAATCTTCAAGATCCAATATCTATTTTCCCCAACTCTCCTCCAGCAGTTTATTTCCACCAAACCAGAGTTGGTGATTGTTGGAAAGACGAACAGAGTTTGAAGTGTGTTTTACAATTGCGAGGTAAAATTACTGGTTTGGGCAATGGAGTCTGGTGGGCTTCATTGCTTTAGTGCGATATCTTGTCGCACCGGATTTCTTAAATATAACTTTGCAATTTTTGAACATATTTTTTTTTGTTTAATCTAAGCTTTTCCATTTCAGCTTTCAGCTTCAGTTATATTTATTTTTCCATCTTCCTTTACAGAATTTTGATTTAATAACCTTCCATATTCTACTCGACATTCAACAATATCCAAATGTAGTTTCTATACAGTTTACTTTTTCACTTTTTATTTAACAATTTATTCTAAGTAGTCACGTAGAATACATTTTTATTTTACATTTTTTACTTTCCATTAAATTTTTTAGTTTTGGTTAAAACAAACTTGGAGGAAAATCTTGGACATTCAGTGCTATCGGGGATCTTTAACTTATGTAACAGTGAGTTTTGAGCATTTTTTTATTTTTGCTGAATTCTCTGTCAAGTTTGTCAGTTCATTGTGTCATTAAACAAAGTGTTTAAAATGTATATGTGTGTCGCTTGGTTTAGAAATTTGGAGCAAAATGTTTGGAAAAGAACAATTTATTCACAAATATAACATTTTATTTTTTTTAAATATGTAATTAAAGATACAGTCTAAATTTGGTGGCCATGTAACAATATAACACTTTTACACCATGATAACTGTGGCAAGAAATATCAGGGTGAACAGTAGTAACAAGATACTCGTCACAATTTCCTGAAATACTAGACATTCAGTAAAATTACTCCATATTGCCTTGAATTTGATTAAACCTGACAAACACTGGACCGTGTTGGAAATGTACTGGACTCTACAAGTATTAACATGGTTACTAACTAGAACGGGCTACAGGGGCAGATCTAGAGAAATATTCATGGGGTGGCAGAAATATCTGCTGATTTAATCGCAAACAAAAACACACAAAAAAAAAACACATTTAACAGTATTTGCAAAAAAGGTGTCATTAGGAATCAATAAATTGTTTTATTGACAAATGTTCTGACATTTTCCAAATACTTTTATCTTTTACTACAGGTCATTAAATTATGAGTTGATTTCTGTTTTTTATTTTTACCTTAAATTTGACCTCATCTTACACCAAACTCGGGCGGCCAGCTGCTTTACAGGGGTGGAAGCTACCATAGATATAGAAATGTAGACAGATGATTAGCCACCACTTTACGTCTGTATGGTCGCCATATTTTTGAGATCTGCTAGTGAACAATACTGAGAGGTTCAGACTTCACTAAAAAATCGACTGTAACTCACTTAATTCTTAACCCATTTTCATGAATTATAGTTTGTTATAAACGTGAGAAATTGAA